TAACTGTGTAAATAAATCCCACCAGGAATTTTTATAGAGGTAGAAGAGTGTTATTGTGCCTTTTTTATTGTTCTCCAGCACTAAAAATTTCATCTTTCATTTAAAATGAATGAAGCCATAGAAGATGTTTTCCTGACCCTGAATCTGACCTCTGTGCTGGTTTCCCATTTTTCCCAGACTCGCTCTTTGCTGCTTCCTGTTGTTCTAAAGTTCAAGTCAAGTCACACTCATATTAACGTATGCATCATGCTGCTGATGAATGAAGGCATGAAAACACCTCCGCTATCAACCAGGAAGAGCCAATATTATAAGTTTGACCCGTACTTATTCTCAACATGCAACATTTTCTGTCATATCACTCACTGCTAATCTCGCCCCAGCACTGTCTGATAGGCCTGCATGGATTTTAACGAACATCGGCTCTGATTTGACATGACATGACAGCTACTAAGCATTTATTTCTAGCCAGCCTCCACTGAGCTAACCTTCGATCATTCCCTCTGTACACACAGATTATGCAGACAGATGCACTATACACACACACGCTTACTCAGCTGGCACGATTTCCAGTCTAGTACACAAATATGAGATATGTACTGTATACACAAGGGAATATGCACACGGCAGAAACCAGACTGTGCATAATCACACTAGTAAAACACTTCTATTCTGTGATGTGTGTTAACTACAGGGACTAAATTCAGCTCAATCATACATGAGGGACATAAATCAAGAGACGCTAAGAGTAAAAGGAAGCTAGAGGAAGATAACAAAACTCTTTGAACTGAAGTGAAGGAGAAGGAAACTCATTGTATATGGTACAATACATCATCTCTTATCATGTTCCCAATGTAAATAAAGAAGACTGGCAGAAGCAGAAAGGTGAAATCTGTGAGCAGTTCAGCAAAAGTCCGAGTCTGCACTTTCTTCTTTTTAAGGGCTTCAATGAATCAATTTTGCGTTTGTATCATGAATACCTGTGTTTTTAAAAGTAGCTGCAGGTGGATGGAAGCTGCTGCCAGGCTTTAGTTTGAGCTTGCACTGAACGAGTGTAACACACAGCAGTTATACATCAGGCTGATTTAAAGTACAGGTTTTTACATATACAGTATGCCTCCATTCAGCACTGCCTTGAGTTTGATTGTCACAATATTAAACCCATAAATGGCTCTTATCTAAGCTAGTTTAGGAAATAGTTTGGTTTGTCTGTGGCTGCCTGGTGTGAGTGTGACCTGACAGCTTGACCTCTTTCAAGCAGGAAAAAGCAACCAAACCTGTCTGATGGGCATACTGTATACATTTGGGGCTAACCCCCGATACATACGTGGGGCTGTTTCTGTGGCCACTGATTGGCTCACTCTTTTTTTGACCTGGGGTTTTGCTCTTTCAGCAGCATTTGGCTTCTTGCCGATGACTTTGGGTTTCTTCAGGACCGTTTTGGGCTTCTTTGCTACCTTAATGCCTCTGGTGGACCTCTTTGCTATAAAAAAGCAAACAATTTCATGCACAACAGGACATGCATTCCTCATACCACATCAACATGCAATATTTTAGACAGGATACTTTACAATGGAGCTTTGCTTTCAAGGAAAATAGCTATGTGTCAATCTCTTGCAGAGAGCTAGATGAGACTCTCATATATTTCTATTAATAATGAATTGGTCTGCTTATTTTAACACAGAAACGGGAAAAAGCCCTGCACAAACAATCAAATTTAAAAATTCAAAAATGTTTAACTATGGAAAGAAGGTCAGCTGTTTCTTGGTGCTGTCCATCATTTTTTGATGCAATAATAATAATGTACAGTTTAATTTTTGAGGGTGAGATGACTCTTGCAAAGAAAGCAAACAAGATGTTCCTCCCTGCGCCCCAAGTCTGTGAGACAGTCAACATGCACTGTCCTTCTTGAATTAAATAACGAGCTCAATAAACAAACTAACAACCCCTGCAGTAGATGCTCTGGATATGCATCTGCTCGCTGTGCAGTGGAATATTCCTGCATTACCAACATTACATGTGACTGGTTATAAGAAGAGTTGCCTTCTGTTTTCTGCTCTCAGGCATTGCACAGCCCATCTGGTTTTCATCAGCGGAAACACACGGCTAAAATGTTTCACTGCACCCTCTGCAGAATGTGGAACATCCTCCCCCAGCCCTCGGACAATGACTCTCCGACCGCAGATATGAAAACACTAACACAGTCCTTTTACACTCCGAGTATCTACAAAACTGTGGCTTCAAGTTGTTGATGAAAGTCTGTCGCTTCATCAGTGATTAATGCGACTATGATTAGAGTTGGTAGACAGTTTGTTGCATCTAACTTTCAAAGCAGAATTTACATTGAATTAAAATTTTGGCTGCTTTGTTCTCTTTCACTGTCACCATGATGCATTTACACTGAAACTGCTTTACCACATAGGCTTTTTGCTTAAGGGAAAAGTAATGACCAGTAAAACAAAAGGACAATCAGTGGAGTTCATTTGCTCTCATGTAAGCTTTTCCATGAAGGAGAACCCTTTGAATTTAACAATTTGTCATCAATTTGAGATTAAACAACATTAAAGAAATCAAAAAACAGAAATAGATATCAGTTTGTGTCCGCTCACCCAACTCTGGAGGACCTTCTTCTTCTCTTTCAGTTGTTTTACCAGCAGCTTCACTCAGACTTTCTGAAGCTGTGGTGGGTTTGCTTATTGACTTAGGATACCTAGTTGTGAATCCTGCGGTGGGAACCTCAGTGGTATTGGGTTTCCCTGCAGAAAAAAGGCTCTCAGTTGAAGTTAGAGCTGTGTTTAAAGCCACAGTGGCTCTCCTTGAGGTTGTGCCATCTGCAGGTCTGCTTATAACAACAACAAATGAGCCGCAGTTCAGATAAAAAAGCACAGTGATGAGCAGAAATCCTGCCATAGCAACTCTCCCCTGCAGAAAACCCTCTAACACGAACTTCTCATTCAACCTCTGTGACCCGCTGCTCTGCAACATCAAGTCCACAGCAATGCAAACAACTTCCTGTTGTATATACATAGAAGTTAAAAAATAAACTTTAGGTATGATGTGTTTTTGGCTAAATTAAATAAAACTTCAAAAAGCTGAAAAAAAAATCAAGCCTTAGTCTGTGTGGAATTCTTTTTTGTTGAAAAAAGTAGGATACAAATTAATGAAGACACAAGAAGACAAATAAGCAATTTAAAGGCTTTTACAGTTTTAAACATAGGAAATGTTCATTGGTGTAAGAAACCACCACATCTTTCTTACATGCTGCCATTACAGGAAACAATAAAAGGCTCCAGAATCTTTAGAATAAATGATCTTTTAATAATTCTCTGAAATGTTCTTGACTTGGTAAAATAATCAAAACAATTCTGGTGACAACAATCAGAGTAGAGGTACGTTATACTTTTCACATTTGCGCTTTTATTTTGAAGGATTTACAAACCTTCCTTACCTCACTGACTGACTGGATGCGCCTCTCCTCTGCAGAGCTGCTGTACCGACAGCCATGCACCAGTTTATTCAGGGATTAAACGCAGAGGCAGAGAATTACCAAAACATCTTCCAGCACTCGGGGAGGCAGGAAATGAAATGTAGACCGAAATGCCTTTAAAAACTTCAGATGTTTTGTGAGGCTTCTTTTCTTTTTCTCACCTTTAAAATGTGGAAGATTTCTTGAATTACTGGTATGTCGCAATGATTCAAAAACACTGAAAGGGATTATTTCTTTTGCACAGACGTCACATTTCACTGCTCTGGTTAAACAGCTTTAATGGCACAGACAGACGCTGTTACACAGGACGTGTGCATCCAGACAGCAAATTCATATAAATGGGTATAAAAAAAACTCAAAAAACAAACCAGAAGGAAAAAACAAAAAACACTTGACATATTACATCCCATTTCCAAATGATAACCAAATAGGTGGTATTTTATGGATCACTGAACAAAACTGTTTTCTGTCCAAGATCAGCAATGTTTGAGGAATTCAAAAATACTGGGTAACATTTTCTACATATTATACTTTTTCTATGCTTAATGAGAGGAACCAACATGCAACCATGAACTATTTAACCAGATCTTACTGGAAAAACGCAAAGAAAAATATATTTACAAAAACAAACTTTTAAAATGAGTCGGCTCAAGTATCTGCACTCTCACTGGTGACCTCTCTCCTCCTGCTGAAGCGCTCTTACATAAAAGTTGGAAATGCTTGCATGTTGAACAACAGAATCTTATTTATTGAACAGCCAGTGGAAAATGTGCAGAATTCTTTTCTTTAGGATTTCACTGAGTACAGTTCGAGAATTTGTGACATTCACGTTTTCTTCACATTTGTAATAATTTCTGTGGAAAACTGTTAATGAAAACAACAACAGCGGGTGGCCTACAAATTATTAAATACCATCGCTGTTCATCAAATTGCTTTCTAAGACACATGAAATGAAAACTTTATTTGTAAAAAATATGCAACAAACCTAAGAAGCTGAGTTAAATAAGACTCTGCTGTGCAAACACCCCGAACTGTTGTAAGCTGTCAACATTCACATGTATATTTTTTTAATGATACAAAAACTTCTTAAAATCCTGCTCAGTCTTTGCATTTTAGTCACTACTGTGTTCCCATTAATTTAAACCTCCGAACCACCTGAATCTGAGAAGGATTCATTAGGGCTGCAGAAGGTTAAATAAATCAAAGTGGGCGGAGCCGTGTCCAGACTGAGGAGAGCATCAGTCTCTTCTCCAGAGGGTGTTTTTTTTTTTTTTTT